TCTGTTGCAGAATAAAACATCACTATCTGGTATTAGATTACAAATGCAGTGTTTTGCGCTGTACTTTCACCCAGTTGGCTCGTTTCAGTGAAAGCTACAGAAAGATAGAAAGCGATTCACTAAGTGAGGTCGTGTATGGCATGAGGGTTTGCAGTCCAAACTTCGATGCTATGGCTAGTCGGACCATTTTTGAGTATGGCTCTCCAGCTTCCTGAAAAAACGTTCACTGCAAGTGACCGTCGATGGTTATCTCTCGAATACTTTTACCATCAACGCTGGTGTTTCTCAGGAATCCATATTGTCTCCAACCGTCTTATTATTGTATATCAACGACGTATTGGAATAAAACAAGAATCCAATATATTGCTTTGCTGATGACAGCATACTTGTGGTCATTCCATTTAAATTCCAGCACATTGGCTACAGATGCACATCTTCACCGGCGACAGGACGTTGCATTTCGTAATGAGGATCTAGAGGTTATTTCGAACTGGGATGGAAGCAATCAGATTCGATTCAAAGCCACGAAAACACAGGCATCGGTTTTATCCAAAAAGATGAATGTCTCCGAAGCGGATATAGGTACTAATGTCAGGACAGACAATTCCGCTTTCTGCTTCGATAAGTTTGTTGGGGGTTTGTTGTCCCTTTTCTATAGATACTTTCACGGGAATTGTTTAATTGGCACATTTGATTCCACCAAGAGCGGTACATATCAGAAATACGCTACGGACTGTGGCTGCTCATCGTTTTGAGGTTAACCTCAGTACACCTCGAACTTCACTGCTTAAGAACTCTTCCATTTGGAGAACTGCTGCATGTATGTGGAATAAACTTTCTGAGAACGTTTTTCCAAATGAATTTAATCTTCAGCGATTCAAATCCAACGTGAATCGCTAATTTCGCACAGCACCGCTCTTAGATCGCCTTGAGGATTTTCCTGTAGTGATTGTGTTCTGTCATCAAAAAAATGGCTGTTCAACAGATTTCTGTCGGAGACCTTTATTCTTTCTAGATTAACGGATTTGAATTTTCTGTCTACGTGTTACTATTTCTTCATTGGACATTAGGAACCAGTTTACACATGCTTAGCGAGTTCCGTAAACTTTTATTCCAGAATATTGGTTCAAGTGTCTAAAGCAACTCCCTGTTCTAATCATCTGGTAAGTGATTCAAATTCAAATTTTTAATTCAAATTTTTTATTTGGTTCATAACAAAGCTACAGCTTTAGAACATGTCACAAAATACCATCAAATTAACATATGCCAAAAGTAAAATATAANTTTAACCGACACTCTATCTGTTATCGTTTACGAGATCCCCATGTACAGAAACGAATTTGAATAGCCCTGTATATTATATGTAGGTATCTACAGTTCTCTTTATAATAATTTTTGATGTGTGATGTATGATTGAAACCATTCTTGATGAAAGATGTCTTAAAATTGACTAATTGAAAAATAACTCATCTGACAAAACTTTTGCGAGTATATCACCATAAAAATATTTATACGATAAATTTACGTAGTAATAAAAATGAATAACAGTTTAAAAGAACTAAAAAATACTCTTTAATAGCAACACAAAGTGATGAATGAAAAATAATTCGAAACTAATTTTAAGATTGTGTTCAATATCCTGATCAGGATCGCCAGGAATAAATTTCCTCACACAGTCTCTGTGTGAGAACAAGTGAGACAACCACACTGTCTGCGCATGCGTATACATTTTATATTCAAACAAATGGACTTGAAATAGCAAGCCAAACTAAAAAGTGGAAAATAAATAAATTTTCTTACACAGAGACTGTTTGAGGAAATTATTTATTCCTGGCGATCCTGATCAGGATAATGAGATGAACTTATGAAATTATTGTATTGTCACCGATTCTTGATAAGTGTACAAAGTTTAAAATACATCTGTCGGTTTTACATACAAACAAACAAACATACATGTGAAGCTAATATAAGCGTGTTAGTAAGAGCCGCTGTAGATGAAGAACAGGTTGAATAATATCCCCATCTCACCTACAATTATGAAGACACCAATTTTATCAATGGCCCTGGTAAATAAAAGGTACCTACGAATCAAACATGGATGATGTTTGATGATACGTGGTAATACCTTCTGTTGAAGATTGGTTCTTTTCATTTGGGTTACCTACTTTACGAAGGGAAAAGGTCATAGTGGGGAATAATTTGAATTTCCATAGGAATATAGAAGTTTTAAAAGCTTGCAAAGATAACAACATTGCCTTCGCAAAAAACGAACTCCTTGTAAACTATACTATCTCGTTAACGTAGATGGCACGTGAAAACCAGAGCTTTCTGTGTGATGATGAATCATCTATAGCATATCTCAGTGTCATATATAAAACTTATTAAATTAAGTATAATACCCCATGTTAGACTGTACTCAGTGTAAATATAGATAATTTTGCTGCATGAAAAGTTAATCTTTAATCTTATTCATTTCTGAGGTGTGTTAATACAGCAAATATATTTTTTTTCGTGATTTCAGAGGAGATAGTTTGTAATAGCGGCGCATATTTATGTAATTTTCAAAATGCAATGAAAATTCAGACAATGGTGAGAACCAATTAAACAGAAGGTTGTTTCATTCAAAGTGCTGTAGTTAAACGAACTTATTTTAATGCTACTATTTGAATATCTATACCTTCATCCTGGTAACAATGTGCAAAGAACCTTGAAAATTATTTTTCACATGTATAGAACTGATATGGATAAAACAACAATTTGAAATATTATTTCATTAAATTATAAACACGCTTCCTGAATTCGATAATGATAAAATACAAGATTGAATTTCAACCTATAGGATCCATAGAAGAATTTAAGTGAAAAATTAATAAACTACAGAAAGGTCATATATCTTTATTATTTGTTTTCTTGAAACTCTGACTTCGAAAGTCGAAATTACGAATTTGAGGTCGTAATTTTGGATTCGAATTTGTGAACAAATAGTAGAAAAATACTCATTTTATTACTCTTTTTAAATATGTTGGTACGCTTTTAATCTTTCGAAAACTATTATATAGTGAAAAACGATATATAAATATACTAGGTGTTCTATAAAAACCAACCAACCTTCAAATTCTTTGCAAATATATTTCATATTAGTCAGTGGGCTATGCTTGAAGACTGGAAGTAAACAAATCTAAAGCAAATGAACTTTAAACGTCCAAGCCAGTCTCTATATACCTACACAGTAGGTTTAATGGACTGACGCCTATCAGAAAACACGAAGGGCGTTGGATTATATCCGACAGGCGTCAGGCGGGCAAATTATGAAGATGCAGTTGGTTAGTACCTCGTCCACTAGATGGAGTGACATTTTGTGATGTTCGCTCCAACTTCGGAAGAGGAATGAAATACTCTGAAATAATTCCGATTTTCAATTGTGGACTATCATTGACTTCAGGTTGATGATGGTCAATCTAAAGCAAATGAACTTTAAACGTCCAAGCCAGTCTCTATATACCTACACAGTAGATTTAATGGACTGACGCCTATCAGAAAACAACTACTCCCCTGGCTAATACCACGAAGGGCGTTGGATTATATCCGACAGGCGTCAGGCGGGCAAATTACGGATATGCAGTTGGTTAGTACCTCGTCCACTAGATGGAGTGACATTTTGTGATGTTTCGCTCCAACTTCGGAAGAAGAATGAAATACTCTGGAAAGAATTCTTTTCAATTGTGGAATATCATTGACCTTAGGTCGATGATGGTCATTATCTTGCGCTGATGTGATGAGTGGCTAATAAGCCCGAAAACGGTCTACAAGTGTGCCCGTTCCAGAATTGAAGGTCGACTCTTTCAGTTGTATTGCCAATTGCATATGCAGGAAATTTTCTGTGAAGATTCATGCACTGACGCCTGTCGAATATAATCCAACGCCAGGGAAGAAGTTGTTTTCTGATAGACGTCAATCCATTAAACCTACTGTGTAGGTATATAGAGACTGGCTTGGACGTTAAAAGTTCATTTGCTTTAGATTCAAATATATTTCGTAACCAAAAACAGGGGACACACGTCCAAGTTTAGCTCAAGGAAGCTACAATGTGCCTTTTCTTAACTTGATTCCGATACACTCCGGAGCCATCTCGTATTTTTTTAATGGGAAAGAGGTCGATACTTTGATTGAAGGTGATTTTCATTCTAAGTATGACGTTTTTGTTTTCTTTTTTTATAGATACGTTGTCGAGAAATAAGGATGAAAGCTGTTGAGCTATCGAACTTTCTTCTGTTTTGTACTTTATTCTCTACATGATTTTAGTTTTGTTTTACAGTTTCCACATGTTATGTTTAATAAACAAAATAGTACAGAACGAATATTTTCTCTGCACTGTGCTCTTGACAAAAACTTCCATCATTTGAATAAGAAAAATAAAAAATATTTAAATGAAATTTAGGTTCAACATATCGAAATGATTGTTGATATAGCAAGTGTGTATAACAAATGGTTTACACATTGTAGACAATGGTTGACTTTTATTATCAGAACTGAAAATGTGTATCAGATCTAGTTGGTCATGTTGAGATAGAGCTTTACACTCTTGTGAGAACGATTGCTGTGGCATCTGGTGTCCATATTTGTATAATATCTGTTTTTTCTGATTATTGCTTTTATTATTTGAGTGATGAAGTGTATAGACACAATTGTCTGTGTGTCGTATTTGATGTCTGTAATGAAAATCCATAAAGTAAGAATTTGTGAGATTTTCAATGATCATTTTACAAAACTGTAACACGTGTTTCACTAATCACTAGACAATAGCTTTCTCATTCGTGTTCATACGTATACTCGCTCGAGGAAACTATTTTGTGATGAAACAACGACTGCTATTATATTTTGAAAACGGTTTCGATTTTATGGGAATGAGAACCCATGAGTGTCAATAATAATAAATGTACCTCCCCAAAGAATATTTAGACATTATATATGAAAGCAATTATTACCCAAGGAAACAATAATTGAAATCATATTTTATTCAGGACAACAGGCCAAACATTTCTGTAGGAATGAAAAAATTAGTAATTTCATTTATTCATAACTATTTTTTTCAGTTCCAGAGACAAACGACAGAGCGGTAATCCAATGACATTGTTTACATCGCCTTCTATTCGAGTGACAAAGGTGCTTGCAATTCCTTGAATTCCATATCCGCCTGCTTTGCCCCTGTAATTAATTCAATCAGCATTTGAAAATGATCGGCTATATACATAACCTGTTCAAGACTCTGTTAGTTGATAGTCAGTCATACCACTGATTCAAATACATTGAAAGTAATAATGTACTGAATATTCAGTCTATCCAGTCAGTCATTTTATTTACTGTTAGTCATTGAAATTGTTCACTGAAGAATTTTGAACTTACATAGGTTCTCCAGTTTCTACATAGGCTATAATCTCTTCCTGTTCTAACTTATGCATGTGTACAGTTGTGACCTCTGTGAATTTGTGTATTTGATCCTTGTAGCTGATAGCAACTCCTGTGTATACCGCATTAGGAATGCCCGATTGAGTTAAACTAAAACATGAATTGTTATCATACGAACTATATTTTTTCCTCGTAAATTCGTTAACTTTTTCAATTTTAACGTGAACAAATGAATTTTCATTTTTTTACAAAAAAAAACTTATTTATATCATGAATTGAAATTAAAATAAAAACGTGACGTGAGTAGGTAGGTATGTAAGTCTTTCGATAGGTGACTGTCTATTTGGTTTTGCTATCTAATGATATCAAAGAAGTTTGTTAATTTGAAAATTCTAAAGAAACGACTTCAGAGATTGACTTACTCAGTTATTGTCTTGATGGCATCTTCCTTGGATTTAGGTTTCCCATACATCCTTCCATTGTACGCAACCATAGTATCTACACCAATGATAATATCTGGCTTTCTCGTGTCATTTTTCAGACGGTTGAAAACTTCTGTCAATTTACAAATGGCTGTTTTTTCTACATAGTCTGAGAAAGTATGTTCAGCTGGATCCAGATTTTCTTCGTAAGTGGATGGATATATCTCATATTTAAGCTTCTGCAATAATAATATACAACTTTAAGAAAACGTGTATTTTATATTATGTGCCTTTCATGCAGGTACTAAAAAAAATGTGCTTGGAATACATTCGAACAACAATTGTTCGTTGTTTCCTATTAATCCTAAATGAATCAGAGCAGGAAATGCGAGACTTACAAAAAATTATTGAGAAACAATTTCTATTATTGAACTTATTATTTTCATCAGGTAGTTTATAAGATAATTTTTTGAATGAAAAAACAAAGGAATAAACTCAAAAGTAATGTCAGAGATTGATGTCATCAATGTACCTACATTTTCGTAATTATATTCCTTTTAATCTTACCAACAAATCGATTCAGTCGCCACTTAGTAATTAGTACGTTTATCAATTTTATTTGAAAGTTGAAGATTTGTCTGTTCAAAATATATTTATTTGATATTTTAAGTTTGGTTGTGGTCACTTTTTCCGATACGGTTCTGTTAACGAAAATTGATATCGATTTGTTGTTCATTAACTCGAGCGCCATCTCTTACCAAACTATTCAATAACGCAGCACGCTGTTTGGAGCTGCTCGCTAATATAATTCTCATTTCATTCAACTGACTCAACAACGGCTCCAACATGTTGGAAAATTACTTCAGTTTAATTAATCACGTTTTCTTGTTAATACACAAAATATTCACACACACTTATTTTATAAGGTTCACCTTTTTGATGTGAAACTGTTAATAATCTAGTGATCTACTGATCATAGGAACATGTGAGCAGAGAGCAGGACCGTACTAAAATCTGGAATGATTGGGAAAATCACGAGTTTTACCGTGAAGTTGAAAAAATAATGTCTTTCATGAAAAAGAAATATTTTATGATTAGGTCGAAATGAAAATTGAAATGAAGTAATTTATATAGGTAGGTACACAAAAAAATTAATGGCGTAATAAATGTTCGAACTGGAGTCCATCCATTTCGAGACATTTTTGAACTCGGTTTTTCATATTATTTATTGCCCTGAATACGTTATTTGCTGCATTGTTGCGAAATCATTCAAAATCCTCAATCTGGAGTCTTCCACATTTTCTATCTCTCTGCCAGCGTAAATACTATTTTTCAATGTCCCCCATAGAAAATAGTCCAAAATAGTAAGATCTGGTGATCTTGCAGGCCATCTTATTGGCTCATTATTTGTCTCGAAATGAAAGGACTCCAATTCGAACATTTATTGCGCCATTGATTTTTTTGGGTATATAAATTACCTCATATCAATTTTCATTATAATTAGGCGCGATTCCCACAATACGTAACGTCACCGTCACGTATCCGCACCGTTACGATAAATATTCTTACATTGCAAGCAATGAACATAATCGCACTATCAGTCACGTCCACTTTCGCTGCAATCACCTCCGTCGTCGATTGCAGCGAAAGAATATTTTATCGTGACGGTGCGGAGACGTGACGGTGACGTTACGTACAGTGGGAATGGCGCCTTAGTATTTCGTTTCGGATATTATTATTGCTATCATTTATTTTTCTGCTCATGAAAAAACATATATTTTAGATGTAGATATGTTTCAGATAATCATAAAAGGTTTTCTTATTCGAAGTTCATTGTAGAAAACGCTCAGAGCAATGGAAAAGATATGAATAGGTAGGTACCTAAAATGAAAAAAAAACTCTTGATAAACCTTACGATACATAGGGAGATGTGAAAGTTGCATTTGTGTTTTTATTCAACTCAGTAAACCAATTTCCAGGGCCGTAATTTAATAAGGAATAATTCACACAATTATAATCAAATATTACCGAAACATCCCGAAATATAAAATTGAATTTAATTTCTCAGTATGAAGTGAACGTCGACGATACAAAAACACAACAAAAAATACAGGTCCGTATTAAAAAATTCTAAGATGGGGGTGGCACAAGTCAGATGACACCCTGTATAAAAGATTCATGGACAATAACATTACTGACATTATGAAAATTATACTAGTTCGCCACTGGTGAAAGACTTTTACTGTCCTTATCAGTTATTGTTTTCAGTTCAAATTCTTCACCAAAAATAGTATTGGTTTCAAATTATGGCATACAGTTATAATTGAATATCAATATCAATTTTTATAATGTAGCAGATTTTTCCACAAATCTAGATATAACTTTCAATTTCTATTCAAAATTTTCACTCAAACCTAAAATAACACAAATTCAATTTATTTCAAATGCCATTTAGACCAAATATTAGGCTGCTTCGCTATAAGATCTATACCCAACTCAGTTGGATAACATTCAGCAAGGAATGCCTACTTTGCCTTTTGGGGTTATGGAATTTCTTTCTGGGTGTAAGTTCCCAAACATCATTAAATTCTATTTTCGTCCTTTAAACAAGGACTGTGAGATAGTTGTGCAGAGCTATAGAGTTGAAGATTCCTGTAGACCTCTTTTTTCAGTACATCATATACTTCCACTACCTCATCTCAAATTTACTTCTCCGAGACAATGAGCAATCAATTATTATGTCTGATCTATGGTAAGAATTACATGTTGAAAAGTAGGACCTCGTTAATCCCAAATTCACACAAATTTTGATAGTTTCATTCTTATATAACAGCTGGTTTTGAACCCATCGTTCACATTCTGTATTGGAAGCAGGGATTATAACAAAGACTTGAATAAATAATAGTAAACAGATTTTAAATTTCACTTCTTTATTATTGCAACCAGGCAACAGGAATAAATAAAAATTCTATATACAGAAATTTGCGAATCCCATATACAACTTGTTTTTCTAGTTCAAATCGGATCACTCTCAATTTATTGGCTTGCCTGTGCAGTAGGCCCTATTTCTACAGCTTCTATATACAATCATTTCTCAGCCAAACATCAAAAACGTAATAAAAAAAATCACTAGCGAAACTTAAAAAACGCTTGCATCTTCAAATGAATCGAATTCACACCTACGCTCTGATATACTAAGAATATCAAACAGATTTATTCATCATATAGCCTACCTCTCCTAAATCAAGGCAATTTGTTGGTGACCTAACTAGTTTTCAAAATTGATCAAAAACGATATGTGGAATAAATATAACAATCTAGAAAATATATAATGCAAGATTACATAAAATAACTCAATTTTTCTTACTGCGTGAAACTTTTTTTAAGTACAACTTACTTGAAATCTATTGATCATGATGATCGAGAGCACTCAGTAGAAAAGTTTCAATGTTACTTTTGTAAATCTGACATAAAAAGTTTGAACCTATGAGATATGTAAGTCACTCCAGATGGCAAAGGAAATTGATAACTGGTGATATTCAAGTTTTGATAGAATTAAACTGAACGGAGAACTTTCCTGAATAACGAATTTGAAACAATAACAGTGCTTAACTATTGTTATTGTCAATAATTATCTCATTTTCTTCAGAAAAGAAAAACTTCAAAAACATTTTGATTACTTCCTACAAAATATAATGAACAGTCACTCTCTTCTAGATAAGGGTTATGACATATATTGAATTATAGATATACAGGAATGAAAATGTGGTAATTGTGCAATTGACCCGACATGAACAAATAAAAACTGAAATAAAAAAATTGAATACTGCCTTCGTTTATACTGAAATTGGTGGAATAATAAGTATCACACCCGTTGGGATATTTCTACATGAAAAAATGACTGTTCAAAACAAATAATAAACTATTATCTCGATGCTGTTTTTCAATAACATAAAATCAGGAACTAGCATAATTTCATAAAATTCTATCTACAGTATTTACAATGATCAGTAGATTCCAGAAAATTATTGGGATGAATTGAAAAAAATTGTAATCCAGTCAGTTTCAGTCCATTATGGATATCTGCGCATACCCAATGAGTGCTTTATCGTCAGGAACTTCGTTGGGATTAAGCGGTGAGTTCTGGAAATAAATAATCAGGTTATAATAAGATCAACATTAAAAAATTTATATTTTGAAACAAATTATAGAATTATCATATGTAGTCTATTTACTACCTTCGTAGAATTGAACTTAGGTTACCAACATAATAAAAAACTTTTTTTTTTGATACCATGACTTTAGGAATGACTTGGTCATTTTGAAAAGTTCAGAATTAAGAGTGTTTTTAATATGCTGATAGAATAAACATCCAATAAAGGACCTGTATAAATCATTACAGGAAACAAGGTTTCTAGAATGAATATCATGAAAAATGAGAAAAAAGTGATGAGCCCAAGAAGTTGCAAAATGTCTGTAGACTTGGTAGAAATAGATAGGTCAGATGGCATCATAAAAAAAAAATCAGATCAAAAAAGGTCCTCACATGCAACAAAAGTTTCAATATTGTTTTTCATCAAACTACCTGTTTGGTATTCAAAGTGAGGATGCATTTGACAGATGGAAGATTCCCCCTCTCAACCGATACATCTCTATGTGACTTTTATTAGCTTTTGAAAATATGTATGTTCTAAGCAATACTTTTTTTACTCAAAAAATATGTCTTTCATCTGAGTAATGATTTATATGATAATAAATTACTATCTTGTATTATTTTCATTCCAGATCCTTGGGAAAAACCGAATTAAATCAATGTGATCCTGATAAGCAGACTCCCTAAGATGATGATGACAACAAATGAAAGGGTCAAAGGTACAAACTTCAGAAAGGCGGAAAACAGGATGCTCACCTTACCAGTTAAAGAGTTACAACTCAGAAAAGATTAGGGATAGTTTGATGGTGCTCAAACAAATGTTGTAGGGACTGACCATAGAAAGATGGCGCATCGAATGGAATGAACAGATTGAGGAACATGTCCAACAATAATACCCAACAAAAAACAAATCGATACGAAAAAATCATTTCTGAGAACATACGGACCTGCCCACTAGATTCAAGTTTTGTCTTTCGTCCTAATGTGTATTTTGTCAGAAAACATGTAGGATGCGAGATTCAAGCTTCTTTCATTTGACAAGCTGTGCAAGCTTTTATTCACATGCTGTAAAAAGGGGGAAATAACTTTTGAATCAAATCAAACCCATCAATTTATCACTGTACACAATTTACTTTATAGAAAAGACTGTCATGAGATTTATCTGTGGATAAATAAGAATATAGTACCTAACTAAATTATTTCTTATATTTTTTCGGTCAACCAAACCTGCTCCCACTAGTTCTCTAGCTATACCTTCAGCAGAATCCTTGTCAATGCAAATTCAAATCTAACTTGATCTTAATGAGTGAGAAAAAATTAGGTTTCTTATATAATAGGGACATCCCGCAACAAGCTTTTGAATTTTATTAATTGTGTAATGCAATTAATTCATGGTTTGGATTCAACTTCCATGTTTTTTTAAAGCTGTGCCCAAAGATGTCTTCTACTATTAATTTATGTACAGCAAACACATCAAATAAAACAATTCTATACAGATTTTCTCTAACTTTTCAGTGGTTGTCTTTCAGAATAAAATAAAAAGCGAGTGAAAAATTCAGCTGGCTGCAATTTCATCAGCAGCAGTAAATCTAATAGCCCTGGATTAACATAGATATTCATTGACTCACCAACAGAAAAGTGATTACTCTCATACTATCCCGCTGCTTAATGAGTTTCTGTAGGTTAGTAGTGATTGCTATTATATCCTTCCCGTCAACCAAACCTGCTCCCACTAGTTCACTAGCTATACCTTCAGCAGAATCCTTGCCAACTGCAAATTCAAATCTAATATCGTTTAATTCTCGTTTCGCATTTCTGAAACAGAAAAATATTTTATGTAAATTTCTTTTTGAATGAAAGAACTGAAAAATGTTAAAACAAAATTCATATTGATATTTTCTATTTTATAGTTATGCATATATAGTAACAACAAATGAATATTCTTTATTACTAAAACAAAAATCAGACCACACTCTTCGACTAACAAAAATGTATCACGATCAATGAGGCTGACAAGTCTTTTATGTCAGTTATAAATCTACGAAGTGCCTGTCAATTTGTGCTATTATAGAATGTTACATAGTAGCACGAACATTGAAAAACACTTAAAACTGTAAAATTGTTTGAATGTGTTTGTTGTATCTATATTTGAACCTTTTTAAAGATCCATTTCAACTTGAACCCAAATGTGAAGGAATTGCACGTTGAAAAGTAAGACCTCGTTAATTATTCGTAAATTCTAGTTTAGATTTCTGAGAGGGGAGTCGACTGCTGGTTAACAAAAAAGAAAGGTTTTGAACAATTTTTTCAAGCTATCGTCCCTCTAACCTCAGAAGTATTCAGAATACTTATGTGAGTAAAGAATTAACAAAGACTTCCATTTTAGGAAGCAAGATTTGACAAAAGGAATAATATTTTGTTAAAATAAATTGAACGAACACTATACTAAAAACATGTGAGAGTAACTCAAGTTACACTAGTTCAGCAATTAGTTCAGTTGTTTGTTCGAAAAGTTTATACAAATGAGGAGTTTTTTATTATGACAGTGTTAAGTAGAAGATACTTCGTGATAGGGTATTTAGGTACATGTTTTGCTGTTGAAATTTGGCCGTTTAGTCAATATTCTATTTTGTCATAGACAAGTATTAGCTAACAATCTTTTCTTTTCTGAAAATATCAAAACAAATTGTTGTTTTCATCAATAATAAATACTACTAAAATATACTTAAAGCAACAAATATTATTTCAATACATATACAATTTAGTGAATGATGCCCAAAGCTGAACTTATCAATAAAAACACAGAAGACTTCAGCTGTGAAACTTGTTTAAAACATTTGTCAAAAATGATTGATTTTGAATGAATGATTCTAAAACAAAATATTACTGTCCTGAGTTTTTTCTTAAAAGTATATTGCAAAAAATTTTTGATAACTTTTTTTGAGAAAATATAAAATATAGTGAAAAAACTATTGAACTATTTTCAAGGTTTTCATCTACCTCCTTTTGATATAGAGAACAGAACACTTTACATGAAATTGAAAATTTTTCGAAAATGATTTATTATAGAAATCTTTGTAGTTTCACCACTGTAATTATTCAAATTCTGTACGGCCCTCAACTAACATGACTAGAAGATTCCGTAACGAAAAAATTCAAGATTGCAAAAGAGACTAAAAGAGCGATTTTTCCCGCCCTCAGCAGTCAGTCTTCCTTAGTCTTAGCTTGCAATGATTCATTCTTCCAATTGTGTTCTGAAACAAGCAGTTGACACATCAACTTTTTTAAAGTGGAACAGAGCCGGAAACGTTTCAGTCTCCAATCTCTTTTTTGTTTCGAAACCTTCTTGACCAAGATTTAGGTAAACCACTTGATGATATCAAAAATATTTTTGAAAGTTGCTGAAATAACCAATCATAGGACCATAAATACTCATATCTTAGAAGCAATTATCACAAAGCAGCACAAAGAACTATAAAGCTATTCAAGAATGAAAGCAGGGCAAGAGATGGTGGAACAACTGGATCAAAGGTGAGGAAAGGTATATACAAACCTGAAGGTGGGGAACTGCCTGTGTGGGGTTCTAGGAAAAATAAAACAGGGATTAAAATTGATTAACATAAACGCATCTTACTAGAGAAGTATTCTCAAGTAAGTAAAATGTTATTATATTTTAAAACCACATATCACCAAATATTCCATAAATGATTTTATGAAGTATTTGTAGTAGTAACAACTTCAAAAAATTCAGTAAATATGTTTCACGTCAAAGTTCTTTTTCCACATATAAAATTAAAGAATATTTGACAAATACAACAACCATGGATACATATTTCCATACATGATATCTTTTTGAGGTTGTGCTGTACCGTGACACCTACAGTAGGGACGATTAAAGAATACGCATGCGAGTTTAACAAATTACGCGATAGAACACATACTTTTATATAGCACTAATAAAATTTTGTGATCCACAGTATCAAATGCCTTTCGAAGATCTAGAAACTATATCCATTGGAAATTGCTTTCCAATATGTAAAATTACTGATTCTGTGTCACTAGATCTTCAAAATCCATATTTCCCAAAATATTTTACATTTAATTTTACAATTCACACCAATATAATCTATAGTGAATTGTTGTTTATTTACTTTTTTATTTATTATTCATTTACTGCACAATTAGGTATATAAACAGAATTAATCCAGAAAGTATCAAGTTAAAATTTATATTTCTATATTGATAGATATTTGAACCATAAAAAAAGAAGGATCACTAAGCACGTTACACTAGTTATGAATATGGAAAAAAGAAAGTAATGATATAGAACGATGAGAAATGAGAAATAAAACTTCCTATGTTTTTATACCACTTTTATTTGTAGCTAACGTTACTGCAATTTCGACCTACAAGGACATTTTCAAAATAAACCATACAATACAAGCTTATTGTATTAATTTGAAAATTTCCTTGTAGAACGAATCTGCAGTAATGTTAGTTACAAATACAAGTAGTATAAAAACAAGAAGTTTTATTTCTCGTTTTTCATGATGATATCCTACCACGTAGTAACGGCTACATCCATCAATATAGAACAAAATGGTAATGGTATCAATGTATAAAAGTACATAAACGTTAGTTTGTGATAGAATTAACACATAGTTTCTTTTAGTAGATTACCAAAACATTTCTTACTTATACAATATTGTGTGCCATTAAGTGGTACTATTTTGGGTGGATATTGGTATCTGTGAAATTTCTACACTGCAAATTTGATTTGTGAAATTTTGAGGAATCAAATACTCTTCTCAATTACCGTCATGTAAAATTCTCATTTTGTAATGTACAACAGGATAATATTTCACATTGTAAACTTCTAAATCTTTGCCTTACCTCATCCTCAAGACCAAGTTGATAGGTGGTGGATCTCCTTCACTACTCTCCTGATCAGAACCTGATGAGCCAATTGATACTAGAGTATTCATCGGTTTAGAATCAGTGTCACTTCCACTAGAATCGCCACCCTCATCTTCACTAGACCATACCCATTCACCAGTTTCTTTTCGATGAAGACGTCCTGAAGCTCCAGGTTGTCGTTTCGATGCCTAAGACAGAAAATTTATAAAGTAGAATTATTCGCCTTTATAACATACACTATTCTAAAACCATTGTGACTATAAAAGGAACATTTAAAACGAATAAATGTTTCAACTGTATAACTCAATCAAAGTATCAAAGCTATTTTTCAATAAAAATTTCTTAGCTTCATGTTTGAATAACACCAGATTCTTTACTCAATCATGTTTCAAGCTACATTAACTTTTTTTTTGAGAAAAATTCAATTTTGAGTTCTTCACTGTCATCTTGTACTGATTTTTCATATTTAATAACTTCAACAGAACACAGACACAAAATGATCGCTAAGATTTGAGTTGACAAGATTTACTAGATAATATAATCAGTAATGCTCTTTGATGTAATGACATTCGAGTATAACAACTTTATTTGGCTGATTATTGGTTACTTCAAGTTGAAATGACAAAAAAATGTTACTCAGAAGTCAAGAAATTCACTGTTCATATAATTAAAGTTAGAAACATTAACTACATGATATTAATTTTCAAAGAAGATACACTTAGCTCAATTCAATTTTTGACTGAAATATTAGTTATCTTAGAAATTTTTTAAGATTTGACACAATTTTCAGCATAAATTCAAGTACCACCACAAATTAACAGTCTTCTTGAATAATGTGCTACCAACCTGTACTCTCTGAAAATTTGTTCTGAAACCAGTGTTCATTAACACAAATAGATCTGTTGTGAAGATTTGCAATAATTTCTAATTCAGTCAACTTATTGCTCATTAACAGTTTTTACAAAATATATCCAATGAAATGTAGTGTTTTTTAAATGTCTTTGGGTGTATTTTGATTTGTTTTAGATTACAATTCGTAAGTTGTCAGGGTTCCTGCATGCCTAAAAGTGCCTGAGGGGCTTTCATTATATATTCTAAAACAAAATTCACAGTAAGCCACTCCATATGGCTAAAATGAAGATTTATAAAAATCATCCTTGTGTTTGAAGGAGACTGCAACTTTAAAACATTCAAAATTAGTTTATGTACTCAGATATCCAACTACGAAGCCATCAGTAACATATCTTGTTTTCATTTCAAAGTGTTTCAATAGCAAAGATTGTAGTTCTTCTTCACCTCAGGAGAGATACACCAGTGTACTTTGTCCTCTGGCAATTGAGATGTGCTACATCATACTTTCCAGCAAGATCTAATGAGTGGCAATTCAAGTTTGCAATACCAATCATTTTACATTTGTGTAGCTTCCAAACTTTTTTACAGTTGTTTGGTTGAAAATCATTATCTTCTTTTTGCTTGTCGGATTTGTTTTCAGTTTTCACTTTATTGTTTTTGGTGGACGCCCCATTTTAGTTTTTTTAATTTTTGTCAGGTACTTGATTATTTTTAATATAATCATTAACTTTTGATAATTCGACATCCTTGATATTTTTGTGAGAATCATCTTTCTCAAAAGTTATTTACACTTTTTTTTCTATAAAAAGTATAAAAACTCATCGTGTTTGGTAATAAAGAATATTTTGACTTGTCTAAAAATATGAATTTATGAATAAAATATATATTGGGTTATCACTGTGTACCTTATTAATATTTAGTTTAAAAGTATCTTTATTCTGAAAATTCAATTCGACTTTCATATAATTGTACTGTTGGATAGAAAGAAGAAAAAGGGTGTTAATATAAAAAAATGAGACGTGAAATGTAAGCATAGCACAATTTTTGAAATTTAAATCATTTTAATTTTGTATAGTTTATCATTCAATTTGCAGTTTTATCACTCATTTTATGTTCAAATCCACAACAATGTCTAAAAAACTACATTCATCATTATAAATATCTTTATGACATAATTACCATATAATCATAATGATGATTTATATACACATATAAGAAATGATTGTTTGAAAATTGCTAATAACACTTAATTTCCAGTATTTGAGATGCTCAAAAACAATAAAAATGTCCGAGTGTGCCACTACAATCATTTGTGATTATTTCGAAACTAAATGTTTCAGCAGAATTACTTGTTCAGTAGAATTTCACTAATCCGGCACTTCAATAAACCAATAGGTCCAATAATCCGACCTGCCCGCGCCCCTCTACAGCTATGCAATCCGTCGCCGCGTCGTCCTCCAGCAGTCTAACCTCAAAACTTATCAACGTGAACAGGCATACGTATTCACCTGTTATTTTGAAGTGAGAATAGTGCGTAGTTTAAAAAGTCAAGCAAAAGGAAACACTGCACTATTTTATTCATTATAATTTTTTCCCTATAATCCAGTAATCCAAACAATCCAACGATCCGGCACTCTCTGGTTTTGAATAGTGCCAGATTAGCGAGATTCTACTGTATGTACAAATTTCATTTCGAATAACTCACTTTTTGTACTCTAGTCTCCAAACTGGGTCCGATGGCTACCAAAGTTGACTGTAGATACTTTTTATCTTTTGCTTTTTTAAAAAAAGGGTGTTTCAGTAATTCTGCAGCAGTGGGTCTCTTTGAAGCTTCTTTTTGTAAACAATCTGTCACCATCTTCCTGAAAGTTTTGCCGTAAGCCTAGAAAATAACAGCCAGTATAGATACTGTAAATAAAAAACCCCTTAATCTAAGAAGCATCAAAGCAAAAATATAAGAAAAAATGCACTTTACTTTGTATTGATCTTTTTCGTCAGCACCAGTGTCAAGATTAGGTGGATCATTCTGCAAGGTCAACATTAGCACTTTCATTGGTGGGTACTTATGGTAAGGTGCAGTTCCAGTGGCCATTTCTATAGCAGTTATACCGAAGGACCAAATATCTGCTTTAAAATCATAACCATGATCCTGGAAAAAATGAAAATTATGCACTTTTCAAAACACTAAAACTTGTAGGTGCTTCAAAATTTGAAGTGCAGCACCTGAACATTTCTGAGGTTGTATTTTGAATCAGCTTGGCAGCACTGGATCCGATTCTGTAATTTATTTTTGGCGTTGTACTACTACTTGTTCTGCTATGCTGTTGTTATTTTACTGATTTTTTTAATGCATTTCAGTTTTGAATTCTTGGATTAAATAAGTTGAGTAATTTTGTTATTTCTGTGAAGAGATTCGTTGGAGAAATAATTTGCAAATATAGTATGGTGTATTGTTTAGGCCAAAAGAGGCATTTATATAAGTGTTAACCGTATGCAGACTTGTGACGTCAAAAAATAAGAAAACATTTTAATGAGACATAAAATTTAAAGAGATTATATTTGATTAAGAATTTTATAGTATATAAGTTTTGAAATTATGAATACACTGACCCATTACTTGATAAAAATTCAGTAGTAATAGCACACACCAGTCTAAAATTCCTTTATACAACAGAAATAGTTACCCAAATTTCCAAAAATAGTATATATAAGAACCGAAGACCAGTGTGTGTACTATTACTACTAATGAAACTACGGTGTTAACGAAACGCATCTAGAATAAAAATTTTATTTGTGAAAATTGCCTCAATTATTATCATGGATATAAACTTTTGTTGGTTTGAACATATGTGAATATATCATAATGATAAATAAAACATCTTCGATTGATGACCTATTAATTGGTAGAAATTCATAATGAATATAGGATAAAGAAAATAATTTTTGTCTAATTTCTACCAAATTTATTATTTGTTAAGACCGGTTATGGTTTGTTAGACCATTCTCAAGTTATTAACAAACCTAAACCAGTTGTAACAAAAAATAAACTTAGTAGAAATTGGACGAAAGTTATTTTCTTTATCCTTTATAAATATAACAGTTTTATTATGCATCCACTTCGAAAATCAATTTGAAATAGATTTCTCCAAAAAGATTTCTTGTAATGCAAAAATGTCCTCCACAATTCAAACTTCAGAATGGTTTAATAAACCGAAACAGGTCGTAACAAATAAAAATCATAGTGGAAATTAGACAAAAGTTCTTTATGCTAATTCAATATGAATTTTCACAAAATAAATAGGTTATCAATCGAACAAATAAAACTTCATTCCAACAGGCTATGAAACAATTCCAAATAATAAAGGAACATATTGCAATAAAAGCTATCTTGAGTTAAATAAAATGGAACCAGTTTCATCTTCTCCAGAAAAAATTCTACTTGTGGAAATCTAGTGAGAGGTACCCAAATCTTTGGAATGGGCTTGTTTCATGCTATGGAAAATGATACTAGTTTGCTTATAGACTGATCGAGTTAGGGGTATATTATACTTATCAAGCCTAATCGGTCCCAAAATCTCTTTATATTTGAAGAAAAAAGAATAATTGGAAAAGAAATAATTTAAATTGGCCGAGTGTCTGTTGACCAATAAAACTGATTGTGTCTAAGCGGAGTTGCCAAGTGTATTGGTTTTTAATATCCAATCACAGATCTGATGATCTAATTTGACAGACGCCATTTTGTTGTTATTGTTGTCAACTTGTTGTGAATACAACTGTTAAAATTATTTAATTACAGAACGTATTTGTAAAAGGTAGGTCTCGGCGGGTACATATTTTGCTGCATATTACGTGTCATTAGTTTACATTCCGAAAAATATTTTTTCAGGTTATTTTTGGATTGAATTTTACCATTACTACGTTGGCCGNACTTAGAGAGATGAAACAAAGTGCACTATTTTTCAATTTAAAATTTCAGTGCACTATTTTTCAATTTAAAATTTCTATCAAGTGAACTATAAACCGAAAATCATGAAACAAGCCCATTGAACAAGATTGGAAGAAACACAAATAATATTGGGAAAATATACCCAGGAACACACAAGGGAAAGAAAGCCTTTTTGAAAGGACCGTCTGAGATGAAAATGAAAAAATTACTTCAAAAAAACAGGAATCTGTTCAGAACAATTATAGGGCTACCCACTAGATAGAGGCAACTGAGAGGGTACCTAAACAAAATAGGGCTTTGGTACGGAGACTTTAACTGTAGACAATGGAACAAAGGGACAGAAACAGCTCATGTTCTATGTGAATGTGAGGCACTGGGTCACAGGAGGCAAGCAATCTATAAACAGACCACACCATATCCAGAAGAGCAAACAAAATTGTTAGAATGGGTATGAGATGGGAGGAGGAAACACAATAAGTTGTTATGAATCAATATTTTGTATTTATTGCCCCTACTGATTCAATATTTTTTGTCCTGGCCTATATTTTTAATGTTACTTGACAAAATATAAATGTGATAGTTGAGAAATAATAATTTTGACAGTAATATTTAAGTCTTCTAATAAAACTAAGGACTTGGAGCATTGGCTCAATTATACAAATAAAAAACTTCATAACAATGATTTCAACATAAGCCATTTAGGCTGTAGTGTTTTCTGAAGAACTGGAAGACAAGTCAGAGAGCTCCCAAGGATAATAAAAAACATCCCTATCACATTTCGGTCAAGTGTCTATAAGTGAACTGACATTAATTTTATTATACATTTTTCATCAAATATTATTTTTTTTAATTTCCTATTTTCTTTCAGTGTTACTGGCACTTTCAAACCACATTCTTGATGAATTTTAAAACACACAAGTTATTTAGCATGGAATGGTTCATTGAATGAGGTTAACAGAGCTTCTTGGTCCAAATGAAATTTCACATTAGAAAATAAAGTCTTGAATCTCTCACATAGAATAAATCTAACCTGATTCTGGCATTATCAGAAGATGAACCATACAGTATAGTTCATATATACTATATATAAAGTATACTATATAGTACAGTACAGTTCGTCTCTCGATGACTTGATTGGTGATACAAGCATCAAAAACAGTGCTGCAGGTCTAGTGTGTGTGAGCAGTCTTGTGTTCAATAAAAAATGTGGTTATAACTGCCGATTTTGCATTTTCTCCATTGGAAATGTCTACCATATCCAGCATTGGTTTCACATGAAGCAGATTTAAATGTCAAAGGCCGGTAGACAACCATTATTTTTGGTTTTATATTTACTTTTAGTTAGCAAGGAAAGCAAATTTGTCTAACATGATTTTCCATTCTGCATATTCAGCAATTATTGGTTAATGAGTCAGGCAATACATTATCAAAGTCCAAATTTTATAAATTATGAGAACTCAAAGAGTCATTGTTGCAATTGAAACTTATGGTAAAAAAGCGAGTTATATTAGTTACTTGGCAGCCAGTATATCTGATTTCCAATATATTTGTTCATAGTTTTCTAGGAACAGGCAAATTTATGTTGATCTGATATACTCCAGAACTGTAATAGATTTGATACTATTGTGCTAAGAATATGCAAGCCAATGGGACATCTTTTTGGACAGTAATATTTTAAAGGAATTTTCACCTGTTCCATGACTTCAGGTGCCATCCAACATGGTGTCCCTACGAATGTGTGCCTGACTTTTTCCCGGGATATGTCCCGGCCAGTGGCCAACCAAGCTGAAACTCCAAAATCAGCTATCTGAACGGTACCGTCCTCACCAAGAAGAATGTTACCAGCTTTAACATCTCTGGAATATAAAACATATTTTTCAAAAGATACATCTCAAAATGCAAAGTACAGTATATACAAATTAGAATATTAATAATGATAATGAACTGATTTATTCAACCTTCATATAGCCATATACTCATATTTATCTAGATATAATTAGGCAATGTTATCATATCCCTTCCCAACCAAATTTTTGTTATGAAAGGGATAAAATAAATTTCCCCTTTCAAACCTAATTCTTGGTGGACGGGTGCAGTTAGTAACCTGCAGCCGTGGGAAAGTGGACTTATTCGGTTTGAGCCAAAATAAACCCTAGTAGGCCGCAAGGGGTCAAATAGTCATAAATCTGGACCTACCAACTCATAGATGAGTTGGTAGGTCCAGGTTACCCACTAGGTAACTTTCTACTTCAACAAGTGACAAAAATGGTATTCTCCTGCTTCCATGCAATAATAAGAGAAAAATGGTATTCTTCCATACAATAATAAGAGATTTTGTTTAATGCGGTTTTGGGTGTTTCAAGTATTTTGTAATGTTTTTACATTCAGCAATAATGCATTGACATTAATTTTCGATTTAGGTTTCAAGTGACACCACAAAAAATCTAACAGATTTAAATCAGGTAACCTTGTAGTTTCCTCCACTGGTCCCCTTCAACTGCCACATCTACCAGAAAAAAAAACATTTTGATACTAATGACGTGCAGATATCCAATCTTGCTGAAATGTCAACTAATTTTCATTGTAAAGGTCACTAAGGTCATGAATGTCAGTGTCAATGTTAATAGTGTCGGAAAATTCATTTGTAATCGTTAACAGAAGAAAGAAAAAGCTGCATTTATTTTTACAAGCATTCAATCAACTTGCAATTCAATGTATGTAGGTATGTTAGTTCGGATCAAATCTTGCAACTGAATTTTAAAACAATTATCTTCAACCGTTTGAGCCAAAAATTTGTATACAAGTTTAGTTTGAATGACAATGGATGGTTAGCTAAGTGGAGTCATTCTACATCCAATATGCAGACTGCCGAAGATGGCGAATCAGTTATTTTTTATGCACTACCATGATACGGGTATCAAATGAAGGGTTCGCTGAAAAGAATACGAAAAATAAAATGACACGTGAAAATAAAGTCTACATTGTAAAGATTTGTAATGATCACAATAGATTTAACAATGAATTGCCGAATTTTTAGTACCGTTTACTACGTTGTTTATATTCAGTGATCTAATAGATCTAGTCCAACTCTTGGTAACACAAAATAACCAAAAATAAATGGTGACCTGCAATAAATATTCCTCACCTGTGAATCTGTCCATTACTGTGAAAATACTCCAATCCTTTCAAAACTTCTTTGAGCACCGTGGCAATTGTAGCCTCATCAAAAACACCATGCTTGCAATTCGATGTTCTCATTTTATGTTTTATAATGTCCAGTAGACTCCCACCTACAAGTGAATGCAAGTAAATGAAACAGAGTTTGAGTGAAATATCAATTTAAGCGATGAAGACTTTCCTGACCACCTACAACTATCTTCAAATTTAAGGTACTGACAAAAGACAGTAGACCAAATGCCTGTGAAAGTAGTGATGGGTTGGTATTTCAATACCACAATTTTTTAACGGTATTCAATAAGGAACTGGGTGTCATGCTCTGTAACCATTAGGTGATAAGTTACCGCTGCTACTCCAGATCCAAATCACTTTGCATGAATATGTGACAAACCAGTTGTGATTAGGTGTGAAGTAGGCAAAAATTATTTTGATGTACAAAATATAGCAATATATCAGACTTTATTAAGAAACATTGTGTATTTTATCATATTTATGAAAATGGCAAAATATATACTATGTACTACGTTCATACTTTATCCGTGATATGACAATATTTAAAATTGGACAGTTGTAACAAAAAAAATCCATCAATATTTTTGTTACTACTCAAACAATTTCTTTGATCAGATGAGACTGATCCAGTTTTTGAAAAAAGAAATAAAAGGTGCTAAATTGTCTATATATCACACTTTCAAATCAAAGTTTTCTCAAGTACCCTAGTTGTTGATAACAGAAATACAAAGTAGATAATGATTAGCCTGTAACATCACTCACAATACCACGTTCGCTCGATCACTTAACGAAAAGTAAAGATGTAATACCTATTAGTACTGTTACACAGTACGCAGATGGTCAATAACTTGGTTCCAAAATTGCATAATTTTGTAGAATTATTATTTAGTAAAGGCAACAAACGTAACAACACAGATGGAATCATTATTCCCATCACTATGTGAAAGTTTTTCTATATTTTCCATACAATAATAAACATGCAAGGATTCTACCATTAACAGATATTTCCGAATGATTAAAATTTGAAAAAGAAATATTTTTCAGAAGAGATAAGTTAATGAAAAAGAAGCTTTAGACCTTCTACTTCTCCATTTTTTTAAAAATCAAGTTCATAATGAACTTCTTACAAAGATTTGTAGATCATGCACATCAGTTCCTTTCAGATACAAACTAGAAGAAAATGTCCATTAAAACAACTACTTTCAAACACATGAATATTGAATTACATGAAAGTCACCTTTTCCGGTTTGTAAATGAAACAGATATCATTAACAGGAATTCGGACCTCAAGAAGTGCACCACAAGAATGATAGATTTCCAAGTGAGTGAAATTTTATATCACTATTTTTTCTTCATATATCTTTATGTAGCAGTATTCTTGTGAATGATATGTTTCAATTCCATAACAAATGCTTGGAATACAAACTAACACATGGGCTGAAAAGTTCAAGGCCTAAGAAAGAAAACGCCTTTTTTTTGTTTAAAATTGGCTTTATTCATAAAATTAATCTCCATCAAGAGCCACACAATCATTGCAGCGCCGCTCTAATATTTCAATACCACTTTTGTAGAACGATTTATCTTTTGCCTCAAACTAGGCCTCAGTCTTAGAATAAGCTCCTCATTCGAGTGAAATTTCTTATCGATAAGCATTTTTTTGATATCTGTGAACAGTCAGTAGTCGCTGGGAGCCAAATCTGGCGAATATGGTGGATGTGGGAGCAATTTGAAGTTCAATTCATGTAGTTTTGCCATTGTTTTGATTAACTTGTGACATGGTGCTTTGTCTTGAGGAAACAAAATTTTGTTTCTGCCATATGCGGTCGTTTCCTGGAATTTTTGGCTTTCAAACGCTATTTGATATTTCTCTTCTCAAGACAATCAATGAATAGTACACCACGCACATCCAAAAATATTTAAGTCATAATCTTTCCAGCCGATTGTTGTGCTTTCAAGCGTTTCAGATGAGGTTCACCAGTTGCTCTCCACTCAGATGATGATCGATTTGATTCCGGTGTGAAGTGATGGATCCATGTCACATATCGACACAAAATTTCAGGTTTGTTATACGAGGTTTGCCTTTTATATTTCGGGATTAGAGAAGAAAAACAAATATTAATCATCGAAAATCACTTTATTGTTTTTAAAAATATTCCCCATGAAGATCTATACACTTTTGCATGCGTTTGAACCAATTGTTGAATCACTTTTGCCACTCTGATTGAGGTATCTCCAAAACATGCATTCTGAACGCAGCAACCGCTTCTTCAGGTGTCAAAAAACGTTGGCCTCTCAGTTTGTTTTTTACGTGCGGGAATAAAAAGAAGTCATTCAGTGCCAAGTCAGGACTATACGGCGGATGACTCATCAAATCGATGTTTTGGGTGCTCAAAAATGCAGTTGTTTGAGCCGATGTGTGAGAGCTCGCATTGTCGTGGTGAAGAGTGATCCGTCTTCGGCGGTTGATTTTCCTGATTTATTGGTAGACAACTGGCAAACAAATGATTGTGTACCACTCAGGATTAACTGTTCTGCGTTGTTCTAGTGGTACAGTTTTTCCGAAAAATCAGGCGACTATTTGCGCGAACAACTTTTGTTGGATTTGGCTCATCTTAAAACACCCATAAAGTCGACTGCTGTTTACTTTCGGGCTCATATGCGTAAATCCACGATTTATCACGATGTCATAGACGTGTTTCGAAGCACCGCGATCGTATTTTGAGCATTTTTTTCGACCAATCGACACAAGCCTTTTTTTGAGGGATTGACAAATTGTGTGGAATCCAATGCAAACAAATTTTTTTGACAGTCAAATGTTTATGCAATATTGAATGTATGCTGGTCCCACTATTGTCTAAGGTTGTCTCAATCTCACGATAGGTCACATGACGATCTTGCAATATCAATTGGCGCACAGCATCAAACAACTGATTTTGGACGACCTTCACGAAATTCGTCTTGGAGTGAACTACGACCACGATTGAATTCACCATACCATCAATAAACACTGGTCCTTGATGGAGCTTCATCGTCAAAAATTGAATTGAGTTCATCCATGCACTGTTGCTGAGTTAATCCACATCGAAAGTTACAAAAAATAATCGCACAAAAATGTTCACGATTTGATTCCATTTTTGGGCCGAGATGAATCTTTTAAGTTACTGTAAACAACTCAAATAGCGCGCGTATGTCAAAACGTTCCGAGTACGTAAAAGCTCAAAAATGTTCAACTTTACTTCAGAGCTGTCAGTTGATAGATTGCAACACTAGGATTGCCAAATCCCAAAACATAAAAGGGCAACCCTCGTATTTAAACATGACCAAACATTGTTTAGAATCATCAAGACGCTCTTGTTTTTGTTCACCAGTGAGCTCGCGCGGCACCCACTTTGAACAGAGCTTTCTCATAGTCTAATATGCATGCAATATAAAGTCGACACGTTTTTTTTTACATCTTTACAATGTAAGCTAACTTATGCAACTTCACTTTTCGATCATTCAAAAGAATTTTGTGGATTTTTTTATGTTTTCTGGTGTTACTGCCTCATTTGGATGTCCAATGCTTTCTCCATGATCGGTGTCTCTACTACCACATTTGAAGTCAGCAAACCAACTTTTAATTGTTATTTCTGATGGAGCGGAGTCCTTATGACACTTTTCAAGCCATTGCTTTGCTTGAACGGCATTTTTTTTCCATCAAGAAGCAGTGTAAAATTAAAACACGAAATTGTTTTTGATCCATTGTTTTGAAAATAAAAAAGTAGTGTCACTCTTAGCACAATAAATCACAAACTTATGAGTAGAATATCATGAAATTTAAACAGCTTTCTTTTGAAGGTTAGTACTAACTGAAAAAGCGGTGATTGCAATAAAACTAGCGCTAACTATGTGTTAGGCCCGAGACTTTTCAGCCCATGTAGTAAATAGGAAAAATTATTTTCATGTAACTCAGTGTTCATATGTTGAAAGTAGTTGCTTCTGATAGGCTTTTTCTACAAAGGTTTAATTTGGGAGATTCCCACATTTTTTGTAAATTTCTCAAGGGTATATGTCTGGCACAATTTGTCCTCAATAGAAACCAGCCATACTTCTCATTGATTATGCTCAAAAAACTTTAATTCATTATTCAGTTATATGCTATCTTCTGATTCTCTGAACTGTAGAAATGTTGACTGGTCAGTAGTATTCCCATTTTTCATTAAGGTATACATCACCTTTGCTAGTTCAAATTCAGATGATATGATGGTTGTTAAATTTTCTTCAGCATCATTCATAAGGTATACAAAGTAAAAATCATGGTAAATATTATGTACTCATTTCAGATTTTGATAAAGAAAGGTCCTGATCTGCAACAGTCTATTTCAGTTCACAAATGAATTGTTTACACTTTACTTTCACATGATATCAAACTTATCAGCGGAGATTATTGTTAGTAGCCTAAGTAATTAAATTGGTGGAATTATTTATCAAGAACTTTTTTTCAGTCAAATATGTCTATTGAGTCTGCACATGATGGAAATATCAAACTGTCTTACAAAAAATGTATTGGTCAGTAAAAACGATAGTGTGTAGTAGTGTTGGTTCTAGATGTTACATTGTAATGAGTTATTTTATATTATATTAAAACCTGAATTTTCAACAAAATCAGTTTAATGATTACAAACAAGAATTTTTATTTCAAAAATGGTATCCTTTGTTTAATTTGTAATTAAAATCATTTTCTTTGTTGACAAACAAGTACACGAAAATATCCTACATTCAATATGTCATTGGCATGTGTAATGCTAACTACTTGATAGCTTCCTTATACAGATGAAATGATTACACAGGTATGTGATGATGTTTACATTCTACCAAATAGGAAATTATTTCATTCATTAAATGAAATTGCAACTCAATTACGACATACTTTGTGACACAGAAATGTTTGAATGTCCTAATAATTTAAATATACTGAAATTTAGAGAACATTTGATATTTGAATAGATATTCAACTTATCAAAAGTAAATAGGTAATTATATAAATTTTCATTAGTGGGATTCTGAATTAATCATCTTTTCAGATTACCAAAAAATTTGTTTCACTTTTTTTCCCTTGAAAATAATCTTGCATCATGATTATATGGGACTTGAAAAGTATGTTTCATAAAAACCGAAATTTTTTGTCTCATTTGCTTTCCCATGATATGAAAAGATATACATCATTATCTTTCAAGTCAGTTGAAAAATAATATAACAGAATATAGGATAACACAAATTTACCAAATTTGAAAGAAGAAACAAATCTACAAGCATAACATTGGATTTTCTAAGTATTGTTACACATTTTATCACTGACCTTCAAGCAATTTTAAAACAAGCCATAGTTCTTCTCTTACAACAAAGCTAGTATAGTAGGTCACAACATTTTCATGATTACAGCTGCTCATGGCTTGAATTTCTTTCAACAGTTCATCCATAGATGTGTTCCATTTCTCTAGATTAATCCTCTTAATGGCACATTTTTCATTTCTTGGTTTGCATAAGGCCCCATGAACCACAGCTGTTGCACCAACACCTGTGAAAAGAAAATACAAGAACTTCAGTATGTCTCTTGATTCATCCATTTTTAATTAAATTACCAAAAATTCCCACAAATGGACAACAATCCACCAAGAATACCTACTTTATTGTAAAAAGAGCAAATGTTTATTGATCAAGTCTACCGATTGTAATCAAATTAAAACATGTGGTGGAGTGTTAGGAGCATTTATTCATCCTGGATGAATAGATTTGAAGACGCTGCTAAACATAAAGTGCTGCAGGGCGAAGCGCGGCCTTCGACACGCTATTTATATGCACGCGCCACTGACCCCCAGGCCGTTAATGCCACATCCACTATATCCTGCATTTTAAATCTGTAATATCTTAGAAAATATTCATTTAAATTACATTCTCTGAAGGGCCATATCAATCGATATTAAATGAACAATGTATTTAAGGTATTTAATTGGATAAGGATTGATGCTGTGATGCTTAAAATTGCTTCGTAAATAAGCCATTATTTCTCGAGGATAAAAAATAGTTATTGTGGGTAATCTCTAAGAGATATACATATATCATGGCGAACTTTTTTGTAGACCTTTTTAAGGTGTACAATACTGCAGTACATTTTTTTATCTATTTTGCAGGATTCAGTCAACATTTGCAATGTGAGGCGCTAAAATGTGTTTATTTAAGACATCACAATAGAAACCTCTAAAAGATCAGTGTTTTCCTACTATATTATGCATGTTATATACATATAAACCTTCCTTTTCAATCACTCTATCTATTGAAAAGCCCGCATCAAAATCCGTTGCGTTGTTTTAAAGACCTAAACATATATAGGAACAGACAGCGGGAAGAGACTTTGTTATGAATCACTCTATTGAAAAAAACCCACCTCAAAATCTGTTGTGTAGTTTTAAAGGGACAGACAGCGGGAAGAGACTTTGTTTTATACTATGAAGTGTACTAGTAAATTAATCACACCCGGTATATTAATCTTTTATTTAGCTGATCGGATTGACTTTGTATAGACTATACATATAGATTTGATTGATTTCCACTTTCCTTGCAATATTCTATATTTGTTTACCTGCACATGTGAGTAAGGTAAACAACTCAGTATTATAATCTGAGGAAACAATTCCAATGTTATATATAATGTATATTATTCAGGTTTTTGAAATGTAGAGTGGTGAACTTTTAAGCAACACCATTATTCAATAGAATTGTGGTATTATCGCCAACAACGTGGATTTATTCAACAGCGTGAAGATTTAATAAGTTGTAAGGAGTTGGATCTTGAATTTTCAATGAGAACATACATGCTCATATTGTAACTTTCAGTCTTAACAAATGCGAATAAATCTTTATGATATATTTTTTTGGAGGACTCAATATTCCTGATATTCTCAATAACTCACATATAATTAATAACAAATTGCTTGAGAAACTCAGGTGAGTCATTGAAAAGTATAATAATTAATATAAGAAATTGAAGTATTGAACGAATACCGCAAATGTTACTAAATGTAGTTCTCTTAATTAGAGTTATCTTACAGAAAAATGGTTTCTCAATTACTTGGCATTGGTGAAAAACTGCAATGAAAGGACTAACCAGTTGATGAACTGAAGAGAAACAGTTACTAATATCACAAATCAATAAAATCAATTGACTTGATGAAATTAGGGTCAAATAAATCAAATGCAACCAAATGATACATACATAAACAATTCACTCATGAATGTGGGGCTGATGAAAAATCTATGTTTTTCTGATTTGTTTTTGTCCTGAAACCAATCAATTTGAAATAGTATTGCACCATACATAACAAATATTATCAAATGATAGTATATCATAGATGACTTGTATTCTATTATACGATAATTGCGAAAATCCACACCGGATTGAAAACACTAAAAAAGTATATAACCTTAAAATTATGATAAATTTCTTCTGTTTTCGAAATATCACAATTTGACCAGTGAACTGTCGTACACCGAAAGATAGCATTTTTCAAGTGGAAAATTATTTTCCTTAATACTAACCAATCACTTTTCCCAGCTCGTAGTCATCTTTAGTATTTGGCCAAGGCACTGGAACTTGACTAGTACTGGTAGCCATTTTTCTCGACAGAAGATTACCGAACGACTGCTTCGCTGCTCTAGCATACCCACTGAGAGATATGTGTTCACATGTTGCAGATTTTTGCCGAAAGGTGCCAGTACTGCCTGGAGGAAGAATTTAGTCGAGCCCGTTAAAATAAAAGAAATGATAATGAAGCTGCCATAAAAACAAAAAGTCATTTGGATGAAATTATTCAAAAAAGCTCATCAAAAACAACATGAGCAGTAAACATTTTCGAATAAAAAATCATGAAAATGAAGAAAATTAGAAGCTTAGCTGGAAAAAGTAAAAACTCTAAGGGAAATTGAAAGAAGGTTGGTTTAAAAATGAATCGAAATGAAAATTGCAGAATTGGAAAGACCAAATGGAAACAGTTACTGAAATTGAAGGAACATGGGTGGAAATATAAAAATGGGACTAAAAATTACAGAATTAGAAAGTGTAAATTCTAAAGACTTTGCAGCTGCTGACGAAATGAAAAATAAGCAACAGTCTGAAGAAAAGATACGATAGACCGGAGAAAAATTTCAGACCTGAACGTAAAAACAGTGGTAAACATATTAGACTTTGCGAACAGAATTCAGAATATATTGGTAACGTTTGAGAGCCTGATGTACAAAATGTGGAAAAATTTATTCCAAACTGAGAAAGAGAAATCGCCAGAATAAAAGAGGCAATAAAGTTTTTTCAATTTTAAAATTTTATCGATAGTTAGAGGATATGTTACAGGCAGTAACATATACTCTTGGTTCTGAAAATGACGAAAAGCAAAAAAAATACGTGTGCTTGTCCTACAATGAAAAAGTTGTTTTTGAATGCAAATTTTGCAAAAACATCAGCCATAAAGTAGATAATTATGTTCCTTCAAGAAAACTGGACACTGATAAACGTTGGGATACGAAAAAACTAACAAAGTGGCTTATTTCATCAAAGAAAGTTTTGCAAAAGTAAAAAAAGGTGTGGAATCAAACATTTTCTTCAAGGTAATCCAATTTTGTACAAAAACCAAATTAATGAAAATGGGGGAGAGCAGGTGAATCATAATCAACATATAGTGTTAAGAAATACTCCTGAGAATAGCTCCAGTCGGATACTTTTTCACTCTTTGATTACTTTGATGAAGCTTCCACCATTACAATGATTGATGATTCAGTAGCAGAAAGTCTGCAACTGTACCTTCCGAATCGCTGAAATTCAAGTGGACAAACTCCTTGACATCTGATAAACTTGATTCCAAAAAAAGGGCAGCTTGAAAATTCGTGACCAAAATGAAGAAACGATATAATTCCTTGAAACTAAGAATTCTCATCGCTCAGGACGACATACAATTGTTAATAGTCAGAAAGGTTCAAGAAGGAAGAAAGAATGGACCTGTTTTTTTTTGGACTAGAAGGGGGTCGGTTTTATATGGAAAAAAACTATTCTGGAAGAGTGGGTAATGCATTTTTCTTTGAAGAATTTGTTACGAATCATTTTAAAACTGACGCTCTGAATTGAAGTATTATAAAAAACACTGGAATTTAGAGTATATTCGAGCTACAGGAATCTTAGAACGAACTACGGGAAGAGTAGGTCAGAATAATTGGAAGACTAGCTTACTTATTATGAAAAAATAATTATTTCAAACATCCAGTAAATTTAATTGTCAGCCATATCTAAATTAAAATCCATAGAGAAAAAGATTGATGGTAACCAAGTATGGTTCATTTTTGGTATAGAGTGTATTATATTTGAATTGATGAAGTTGGTAATAAATTCCGTTACAACTGAAAGTGTTGGAAAAAAGCCATTATTTTAATTCGATAAAGCATAATGAAAAACCTGTTTTTACAAATTTTCAGGATATAAATTTTCTCATTTCCCAAAATACGGCTAACTGACGATCATCCTGCAGTACCCTGTATATATGATGCAAATAATATCATACAATGCAACTTTATAAACTTCCATCACGTATCAACTTGGATAATAGAGATTTCCATCACTCTAATAAGTAATACAAGATGATTCAGTACAAACATATGGCAAAGAGATTTATATGATTATCAGTATTGCTTACCAAACATATTCATTAGTTTCTCTGTTAATTCGGGAATCAAATTGAATATTGCCAGAGACAAAAATACTCAGTGTCAGCTGTCTGAATTTATTCAGAAGGGATTTATCAAAATACATTTCGATTGATTGAGAGAATGTTATTTTTAAATAATTAATCTAGTTATAAGTGTGGATTTTTTTTATCACGGATGATGTTATTTTTGTTTTTCATAATGAATATTATCAGGCTGAAAATATAAATTATCTTCTGCACAAAAAAAGTCAATAAATGATTCATATCGCTACTGTTAGTGCAAAAGGTAGTATGTAAAACTTGTCCATTTTGAGAAGAACATGAAACATATTATTTTCTCATTCCTGATTTTCAAAATTTTTGCCATTGATGACTCCAAAAAAAGCAAAAAAAAAATTATGTGAAAATATCACAATAAAATTATAAAAATTCATGATTTTGTCGATTTCAGATCATCCCTGGACAATTGGATATTTTTCGCATTTTTACATCTTTCAATATTGCAAGCAGAAGTACGAGTGAGAGTTCGAATATTTTCATCATGAAGACCTCCAAATTTGCGAAAAAGTTTTCAATTAATATTTTACAGGATGTCCTTTCCTTCCTGGAAAGAAGTAAGCTACTGAAATATCTTGTCTAAATATTGGCGAAGCTGTACAATATTCAGGACATGACTTGGAATGTTATTTTACGTTGATTTTCCAAAATTGTTTTCATTATAATAACATAATCACGTGTTGAAGATCTAGTGCTCGAATCTAGATTTGCAACAATGCAGAATCTTATGAATATCATCAAGTAATAAATGCCTTCTATTTGAGGATGTGCTGTACTGAGACAGCTGATTATAGCTTAATGAATAAAAATATTTTTCAAATTTAACCAATAGTGAAGACAGAATTAGGTGCCTATTTGCAGCAAGATTTCGAACAGACAGCATGCATTGTGACAATAGCCAAGCTACATTTTAGGAGTATTTGTATTTTATGTATCACCACTTTCGTCGTTGACGAAAATTTCCTGAAAGCTTGTTACGGAATTTTCTAAGAGTTTCCTTCACCGATATGTCAAATTGTAGCTTCATTAATTGAAAAATAATATATGCCAAGCCTCATATATTCTTAGGTTATCAGTATTTTGAGTCATCTGTTTCATAATAGATAATAATACCTTGAAAGCAATGAAAATCTACCAACTGTGAATTATACTGTTACTTATGTGTTTTTTGCTCAGAAACAGAATACTCGAGTGTTGATATGAAAAGAATAAATTTGAGGTGAATTGAATCAGCACCACATATGACTGTAACCGAATTGTGAAACATTCATTAACACATCAGAATTGACTTATGCGGCCGTACTTATACATAAACAATTATAAACCAGTGCAA